AAGGTTCCTGCCACATATATATATACGTACACATACACACACACACATATATATATAGAAATGTATATGCATATGTGCATGTATGTATTTACAATATACATAATATGTATGTATGCATGCATGCATGCATGCATGGGTGTATGTATAAGCATCTCGGCTCCATGTGGAGTTTGAAGAGTGGTCTTGGTGCCCTCTGGGCACTGTCGGTGCTAGCGACGGGCTGGGCTATTGAGGCTCTTGAGGGTTCCGACCGGGGTTCTGGAGCGCCAAGGGCTCAGTTTTGGTCTGCGGGGTGGCTGGCTTGGCTTCCTACTTTGGAAAACCAGAGGACTAGATTTGAGCCATGGACCCCATGGCCTTGGTTGCCTGCCATGGGGACAATAAGATTCCGAGATACGCCTCCAGAATGCTCATGCATGACTATGTATTTACAGCAACGGAGAACTATGTACTCGGTGGCCTCACTAAGCAGTGGAAGCACCTCGAGATTACAGAGCTACGGGTACGACAAGCTTGGCTGCGAGAGCATTGGGCCTCAGATGGGGCGGGAGCCTTTGGCATTTGGTGCATGGGCTGGCATTTACTTGTTGTTGAAGGGAAGCATGAGCTACTTCGTAAGACTTTTGAGTCTGATTTCCAGTTTGGTATGGCCATGTTCCAGCACATATGCCGACACCATAGCCCGGAACTTGAGACGCTCGATTAGGGGAGCGGTGAAGCTGGAGCGGCAATGGGTACGAAGGAAGACCCACATGCAACTGGAGCAGGCCCTGGGAGCTTTCATGTTGCCAAGCATGACATGTACATTTTTATTGAGCTGCAGTATCTGCATGGTTTCGCGTGGACTTCTGAAGGCCACCTGTGGCCGGGAATGCTGGAGTGACACTCCCATGTGCCCCATGCGAGTTGTAGGAAGTTACTGGCAGGTGCTGCATTCAGCCTACATGATCGTCAGAATTTGGTTGAAGCATGCCCAGCTACCAGGAATGCCTGACATCTTTGCACATATGCAGGCTCAAGGGGCCCACGCAGTGAAAGGGTGTTGCAACGTGCTCAAGCTTTGCATGGTGGAAAGGCTGGACGGCAGCTCCTCAGGAGAATACGAGTATATGGACATGCTTCTGGACTCAGGCTCCGGCAACGAGAATGAGGAGACTGTTGCGGCTACCACGACAGCCACCACAGGCATGGAGACAACCAGAACCATGGAGGCCACAAGTGAGCATGCGGCAAAGGCAGCACCTCCCCCACAGCCGAGAGTCATCTATGACCGCCTGGGGCAGGTGGTTAGAGAGCCAACAGGGCCACCGCCAATCATCTTGGAAGCGGAGGACGAGGAGGCTGACGAAGATGGTGAGTCCTCGGCACCCAACGAAGATGAGGAAGCTGAGCACACTGAGGCCGATGAGGCGGCGCCCCTTCCGTACGAGATGGAGCCTGAGTACAGACATGTCTCTTTGGCTATGTCAACCGCCATCTGCGAAGTGTTACGACGCAACGGAAATCGACGAGCTGAATTTCATGTACTCAGCATTCCTCCTGCTGCCTGGAAGACAACAGAAGGCTTTGTCTTGCAAGCCCTACCCTTATCGGCCAGCACCATGACGGACCGACCTTCGAGCCACCGCGATTTGGAGCGGAGCAGTCAGAGATGACGGATGCAGAGTTGGCTGAGGATGAGGAAATGGCGGCCCTGAGGGCTGAACTCGATGCTGAGACGGAGGCCAGCATGCACAACCCGAGGGGAACCTCGATGACGTCGGGGACTACTCCGGCGAGCCATGCTCGGACGAGGAGGCAGCCATGGCCATCAAGATATGCACCACCAGTCCCCACGCCAGCCAGGACTTCGGGAGCAGGGTCAAGTGCAGAGTCCTCCAGGCAGGACAAGACACAGTGTGCTCAATCATACACCTCGTGCCGAAGCCACCAACCCTCTACTTTAGCGGTGTGCTCAGGCGAAGTGACCCGTACTGAAAGCTCGCTGATGATTTCTGAAGCCACAGCTGACGTAGACATTCGACAGAGGGCAGCACAGGCCTTCCAGTTGCTGCTACTGAGACCATCTGCTGGGCGGCCCAAAATAAGCCTCCTTGCTCGAGCCCTTCGTCACCTTTGCCGTCGAATCCACCCTCACTCACTGTGTGCCAAGCGACTGACCAGGTACCGCTCGGAGACCTTCCTGTGCACATGGCCGGTGTCCTTACACAGAATGCCTCAGTTATGGTTAGTGTTTGTCATCGCATGCCTGTTAAGGTCCCTCGAGAACTCTGTATACCTGCAGGTGGTCATGTCCGCGGCCCTGCTCTACTTGACAAGTACAGTACATGAGCCCGGCATTGGATTACCTGCCTACAGGTTGCAGCATGGTGATCTTCACTGGACAAAGGCAGGACCCAGACAGAGTGGGAGCACCGACAGCTACATGTTGATGACAGGAAACGATGATGCAGACCACCAACCTGACAATCCACAGAGGAGCTGCCCGGGTCCCAATTCCCGAGGCTACAGTCAAGGGCATATAGGCAGCTGGATGTTCATGCTGATGATGCTGTCTATGTTACCATATCAGGCGAGAGCGACTGTAGCAGATGCGAGGGTTGAGCTCCCAGTGCACCGCTGGAGCTCTGGAGCCGGATTAATGCCCACTCCAGTCAACAACAGGGCGAAGCCAGGTGAAAGCCGAAACACCGCCCACAGTTCACACAATTCCGCTCAAGGAAACATCCGCAAGAGAGCTCTCAGAAGAGCTATTGAACGAGCACACAACAGTACAGATGGATACACGTGGTACAGAGGCCGGAGACTGCACCACCAACAACTCTGTTCGGGCAAGTATCGCCAAGAGCAGGCGCAACAGCAGCTGGGGCTCCCGAATCATCGAGAGGCACGGACCCTGAGAATGATCAGCTGGAACACTGGAGGACTCCACAGTGCCCGATATAACGAGGTCTTGGTGTGGCTTGATGCCCAGGCCTCTGCAGGCCAGCCGGTCGACCTACTGTTCATGCAAGAAACTCACTGGAAGCAGGACGAATATGTGGCGACGCCTGTGGAAGGGAAGGCCCTACAGTACCGGGTCATTCACTCAGCAGGAGATGACAAAGCTGGCTTGATGTGCATGATCCGAACAGGTATAGTACCGGACTCCCACATCAGACACCAGGCGCTGCTTCCAGGGAGACTACTGCATATTAGATTGATGCTCCCCACACCAGTTGATATCATGAACACATACCAGTTCGCTTGGAACATCAACAAGGCAGCCAATGTGGGATACGACACGAAGCACAAAGTCGACACCCTGATGAAGCAAAGAAGGCGGGTCTGGAAACACCTGGAGCAATGGTTGAGGGGCACTCCAAACCGACATGGATGCCTAATCGTGGGTGACATGAACACACCGATAACCTCGGAACAGCCCATCTCGGGCACAGGAATTGTGGACCCCCAGAAGGCCCAGCAGCAGGACCAGGAGAACTTTCAAGAACTTCTCAGGTCGCACAATTGCTCAGTGTTGAACTCATGGTCAGCATCGGGCTGGAAGGCACGAACGTTCATACCTCCGGGACCAGATGACAGAAAGCAGGGAACTCAAATTGATTTCTTCATTGCCAGGGGTGTCATGGATACAGCACTGTCGCGGAAGGCGGCCCCATTCGATGCCCCGTTCGTGCCAACCACGGGCTGCAGACACAGACCACTGCAGGCCATGTTTACCTTGCCGAGAATTAGGTACCACCAAGGACCACCGAAACATTCCTCGCATCAGGTCAGGGCCTACCTCAAGAACCCCCAGCGGGCCATGGCCATGCTGGAGCAGATTGCCGTGGACCTAGACCAAGCACAGGTGATGGGTGATGTAGACCAGATCCTACTCCGAGGATGGGAAGTGGCCAAACAAAGTGCTTCCAGGCAACAGGCCTTGGCTGCACTACAGGATCACCAGGTCAACACGAGGGACAGAGTCCTGTACATGTGGAGATTGCGAGCTGACCTACGACAACTTGGGAATGCCCCCATCGAGGCAGACGAAGGCAGGGACCTCAAAAGCATCTGGGATTCGTGGTCAAAGGCAGCCAAGCTGCAGAGGACTACTAGACAACTTCGCAAGGACTGCCGACAGCGAAAGACACTCAAGATCCTTGATGCGGTCCACTCAGACAATGTCTTCACAGCAGCAAAGCGTTTTGCACCAAACAGCCCAGACGGAGATTGCAGTTACGATCAAAGGAGGGCCATCTGCAGTCCCATGAGGCGGAGTTCGATCAGATCCGCTCGTACTTCAAGGAGCTGTTCCAGGGCCCAGAAGGCAAACCATGTAAGCTGCCCGAACAGGTCCAGTTCACGGAAGCAGAGGTCAGTCAGGCACTTGGTAAACTGGCTGCAGGGAAAGCGATGCCATCATCTAGTGCACCGGCGGCGATCTGGAAGCTTGCAAGTGACCAGGTAACACCACTCCTCTGCAAGCAGTTTTCGGAAGTTCTGGTGGCAGGAGCGACTAGAATTCCGGACAAATGGAGTACATCTGAACTTGTTCTCCTGCCGAAGCCAGGAAAGTCATTGACCTCTCCGAGCCAACTTCGCCCGATCAATTTGCTACCGCTCCAGGCAAAGGTCTTAGGAGCAATGTTGGCGGCGAGACTTCAAGAATACGCCCATTGCTTCCTGTGGGAGGTACCACAGTATGCCTACCTCCAAGGACGGTCCCTTGGACAGGCCTTGGAGAGAGTGGCAGGACAATGTGCAGCAATCAGAAGCAAGCTGCAGGCCCAAACCTGCAATCCACATGCCAAGAAAGATGGCCACCGCCTGACCCAGGTGGGAGGGGGTTGCTTCCTCTCATTGGATATATCCAAAGCATATGATCATGTGGATTGGGGAGACTTGACCCAAGCATTGGCTGAAGCACAGGTGCCAGACTCACTGATCAGCCTCATCATGATGATACATCGGGAGGCACGCATCAAAATTCAACACTGTGGTCATGAATGCACTATAGCCATGGGGCGGGGGTTAAGACAAGGATGCAGCTTGGCTCCAATCTTGTGGTCTATCTACAGCGGCTGGGTCCTTAAAAAGATTCACCGGCCTGGACTTGTCGACATCCCCAAATGCAACACGTCTTATGCAGACGACCTGTTCTTTGGATGGACAATATCCTCAGGACAAGAGATGGCGGTGACCTACAGGGCCATCAGGCATATCATGGAAAGCCTGGGCAGGCAAGGCCTGCAACTGAGCCTAGACAAAACTGTGATTGTTCTGGGACTCAAAGGACCCGGTGCCGCTGCATGCATCAAAAGATATGTTGTGGAACGTGCAGGTATGCAGGGCCAATTCATGAAGTTTCAGATCGGGGGCGAGGCTGCCTATGTGAAGATTGTCAAGCAACACCTTTACTTGGGAGCACAGATTAGTTTTCACAAGTATGAGCAGGCAACGGCCAAGTACAGGATGGGGCTTGCCAAGGGAGCCTACACCAGGCTGGCGCCGGTCCTGAAATGCAGAACTGTGCCACTCAAGTTACGTCTTCATCTATGGCAGGGCACGATTTTGCCGACCCTCCTGCATGGCCTGGACTGCATGGGGCTGCTCACCACAGAGGCTGCGCAGATGATGACCATCTTCTATCAGCAAGCCCGAGCGATAGCCAAATCCTTCAGCATGTACACACATGAAACCAACATGCAATTTGCTCGAAGGCTGAAGCTCGCCAGCCCGATCCAACGACTGCTCAAGGCGATAGACAGCCGTGCAACGACCGATTTAGCTCTCAGCCCGAATCTCCGTGCAGGTGATGTGCAACTTCAATGGCTTCACTTTGTGAGGGACCAGCTATGTGAGGCCCAGGATGCTCTGGGCACGAGTGCCGGTCCAAAGCCTCAGCAGAGTTGCTCCCTCCTCAAAGTCCAAGACATCATCCCTGAAGTTTTCCACTGCTCTGAATGCGGAACTTCGTATGGCACCCAAGCTGCTCTAAAACGACATGTGTTCAGACAACACATGGAAGAGGAGGAGCAACTCCAGACCATACAAGAAAACCGTCGTGAGCTTAAAAGGGATGTGATGCTTCATGCCAGATCTGGACTACCACAGTGTCGTCACTGTCTCCACAAGTTCACGACGTGGCCCGCGTTTTTCTACCACGTGAACACCAATAGTTGCCCCATCTTACGAACCATGGGAGCTCAGACCCCTCAAACAGAAGCCCTGTTAGACATGAATGAAGCATTGGTTGAGAACCCAGATATACTCAGTCTGGCGAGACACTGTACCTGGAGACAATTGGCAGAGCATCCGAAAACTCGCAGCAACCATCATCATTGCCCGGAGTGTCATCAATGGCATGCCAGGCCCCAGTATGTCAAGAGGCACATGCTTTCCCGACACCAGGATCAAGCAACCATAGTGAAGCAGAGCGAGGAGCTGATCGTGAAGAGCAACCTGAGCATTGCTAATCCCTGTCCATTCATTCTGTGGACTCAGCTACCAAAGGAAATCGGATCACCTCAAGTCATGCATTGGACTCTTCAATGGGGTCTACTTGTACTTACGAATAGCCAGAGGGCCACCGCTCACTTCACTAGGGGAGGGCATCAATCATGGTGAACAGTGTGCCCATGGAAACAGATCAGCAACAGCTGGCAGCGGCCACCCAGGAGCTGGATCTACTAAGGTCATTCATCCCGACAGGGGTACAGAGCTCCACGCCGACCCCATCAACGAGCCCAGGAAGCGCCCCGACAGCATCACTCCCGGAAAACTCGCAGGTGGATCAGACGAACGGCGAGCACCGGCAGAAGTACCACAAGGGCGGCCCCAAGGGAGTGAAAAGGACGAGGCCACAAAGGACAGCCGAGGGTTCCATTCGGAAATTCTTGGCGGGCCCCAACCATGACGCAAGGTGCCCACCCTCAGACACCTTGGAAGGTTTCAGAGAACTACCCGTGGAGGGAGGGCGAACTGATGGACATGGACCCGGCTAAGCTGAGGGCAGCTGTCAACATGCTCACCACCATTGTGATCCGGCACGAGAACCAGCACGCGATAGCCCGCCAGGACACATCGTATGTGCTCTTCGTCCGCACGGACGTACCCGACTCCCTAGCGAAGTCCACATATGCTCTAGCACAACAATGGCAGGATACGAAAGCCAAAACACCGGAGAAACTACGACACCCGATGCGGGTCATCCTCTTCCAGCATGTGATAAAGGTCACGATGGAGAAGTTCGAGATGATGGTGGCAAGCCCGTCGTCTCGCTCAACGGCAGCCTCCATGGATTGGATGAGTACGGACGAGCAAAAGGTGAATGGGCTAAAATGGGACCCGGAGACTCGCAAGCATGTGAAGGACGACCAAATTCAGCCCCTAGGGGTCCAGGAGATCAGGGAGGCCCTACAGGAGATCCTGGCAGCCTGTGTCGAGCCCCTGGTTGTCGCTCGGTTCCATGCCACACGCAAATTGGCTCAGGAGTACACCAGCCAGAATCTAACGATGATGTTGGAGATTGGACTCAGGACAGAGCAGGCCAATCTGGTGTGGCGAAGGTTGAACCAGCTGGAGAAGTCGGGAGTATGGGTGGCAGCAGGAGTCTTTCTACGACGAGAAGGCATGCAGAGGAGTGCTTTGGTCCAGCGCCTAGCAGCCATCACGGGCTCATGAACCTCCGGCTTGGCAACAGAGGGAATCATTGCTATGGCAACTCAGTATTGCGGGGTTTCATTGCTGCTGCTGTGGCACATGGTGGAATGAACACTATGTTCAGTAGGGGCATGCTGGGGTTCATAGAAGGCCTGCTGCGAAGCAAGGGGATTGTGTTCCTGTGGGCGCAGCCCTTCTGGGTTGCATTGATGAGAAATTGGGTGCTGCCTTCCAGGCAGCATGATGGGGCGGAGTTCATTATGTTTCTTCTCAACAAGCTGCCCTTCACTGCAGACCGTGCAACGGCAACCTGGCAAGCCAGAAAACAGGATGGTGAAACCTACAGGGTGACTGATTGGGGAAAATCGGCGCCTCTCCTACTACACCCTCCTGATTGGGCTTGTGCTGATGACTGCCTCAGCTTGTCTGTACAAGAGCTGCTTGGATATTGGAAGGAACAGGATGCATTGCATGCATTCAGCATGCCACCAGGGGTCTTGATTGTACAGGTCGGTCGATTTGGCTTTGATGAAGCACATGCTTGTGTGAGGAAGTACCGATTTGAGCTGATCCCGGATCTTTGTATCAAGGTGCCGACTTTTGTTAACAGCATGCATGTGCAGGATAGCCAATACCGATTGTGTGCCTCAATAGTTCATGGTGGACATAGTCCATACAGTGGCCATTACTTTACGTTGTTCCATGATGCGGACGGTCGAGTTGTGCTGGCTGATGACAATGTCAGGGCCAGATTCATGGAACATGGTGACACGAAGCACCATAAGGACATATACCTTCTGTTCTATGTGAAAACAGAGCCACTGTGAACCCCGCTTTTGGGCACAAGTGCCGGGGGTTGATTTCCTGAGCGGAGGGATATGCAGAGCATAGCGTCGCCGGGCGAAACGCCTGTCCCTCATTTTGCGCTCGCCGAAGCTAGACCTTCTGCAGCGTCGAAAGTGAAAGGGTGTATGTATGTATGTATGTATGTATGTATGTATGTGTATGTCTGTATACACACATACCCAAATTGTTATATATATATATGCACATACACATATGTATATATATAGAGTTACATACATGCATACATACATACATACATACATACATACATACATACACACACACATACATACATACATGCATACATACTTAGATACATACATACATACACACACACGCGCATATATATATATACACATACATATATATATATATACACACATAGTCGTATAGATATATGTATATATGTATCTCCCGCTCTAAATTTGAATATCTGTAGAGGTGCATTTGCACATATAAGTACATGTAGATACACACACATACAAACACATACATCTACACGTATATATGCACATACATACGCACTTACGTATACATATGCGCATACATGTGCTGTACACATACAAATACACACATATATATATATATGCACACACACATACAGATACATACACACTTACATATGCACATGCATACATACATACCTCCATGCCTCCATACCTCCGTACATACCTACACACATACATACATACATGCATGCATGCATGCATGCATGCATGCATGCATACATACATACATACATACATACATTTACATGCATGTTGCGCATACATACATACGCCTACGCTTACATACACTTACGCATACATTCATATAGATACATTTACAAAGATGTAAATTGTTATACCCACATTAGCACATATGTATATATATATAGTTGCATACATGCACACACATACACACACATACACACACATACATACATACATACATACATACATACATCGACACGTGCATGCGCACGTACATGCATGCATACATACAGGCATACATACATACCATACCTTAGTTGGCTCATTGGTTGGTCAGTGGGCTAGTTGGTTGGTTGCTTGCTTTCTTTCTGGCTTGGGTGGTTGGTTAATCAGGTGCCTGGTCAGATGAAGCAATCAGTTTATGCATCAATCTAGTTGTGCAATTGCGCTGTGAGTTTGTCACACTACGAACCAGAACAGTGAGTGATTAGTTAAGCAGTCAGTCAGTCAGTCGGTCAGTCAGTCAGTCAGTTAGTTAGTTAGTTAGTTAGTTAGTTAGTCAGTGAGATAGTTAGTTTGTTAGTTACTTACCTTCGTACGTACTTGCATACTTACTTACTTGCTTACATACCTCTTACTTGCTGAATCGATTCACTCATTAAGTAGTTCGTTAGTTAGTTAGTTAGTTAGTTAGTTAGATAGTTAGTTAGTTAGTTAGTTAGTGAGTTAGTGAGTTAGTGAGTTAGTGAGTTAGTGAGTTAGTGAGTCAGTGAGTTAGTGAGTTAGTGAGTTAGTGAGTGAGTGAGTGAGTTAGTTAGTGAGTTACTTAGTTAGTGAATGAGTGAGTGAGTGAGTGAGTGAGTGAGTGAGTTAGCTAGTTAGTTAGTTGGCTAGCTTGCTAGCTAGCTAGTTGATCCGTTGGTTAGTTAATCCATCTTGTAGTTAAACAGATAGATAATTTAGTCCATAGCCATAGCCGCGCCGAGGAATATGCAACCTGCATTCGCGAAGTGGCAATGACTGAGGGTTTCACGATCTCCTCCTCGTCGACGGTCCGCAAGATACAGACGCTCGGCCGGAAACCCGGGGATTGAGGGCTTCGGGGACCAAGGTCGCTGGTTTGCCAAACTTGGGACCTGAAGGCATTCAGGATTCAGGTATGGACAAAAGAAGCCGCTAGTATACTGTGATTGTGCGTGGGGTCCTAAGCGCGGCTCGAAGAGAATTTCATACTAAATCCTGATGCTGCCCTGCCCTAATCCCGAGAAGCTCAAATGACCGACTGCCAAGGACGTCGGAGCTGGTGGAGGTCCTGGCGGGCCCAGAAGAGGACCGAGTCGACTTCGGGGACCGAAACTGACATGCCATGCTTGTTTGCGACCCAGGAAGGCGGATTGAGGCTGCGGGCCTATGTTGTCAAGCGGGATTGGGACCTGGGAGGCAAAGAAAGGTATACATTGAGGATGGATGGATGGATTGTCCTGCATTGTCATACGGCTCAGGCCCTGCCGACAACCAGAAGCTATACTGGTGGCATGATGGTGGACATGGCGGTGGATTCTGGCGTGGTTGTGGTGGTGGTGATGCTTGCTGCTGCTCATGCTGCTGCTGCTGCTGCTCATGCTGCTGCTGCTGCTGCTGCTGAAGATGATGATGAAGTATAGAAGATAATGATGGTAGTCATGATGATGTCAGATATCGCCCCAATCTCCATTAACCTCGCTTCACTGAGCAAGAAGAGCTTGTTTGAGTCGCAAGGACGAGGAGTCGAAAGTCCGCCGAGTGCGCTGCCGAGCGCTGAAGGACGCGGCGGAGGGCTGGGTCGCGGCCACAGTTGCAGAGCTGGGGCTCGCTGGAATCAAGTTCAGGGTCCGGTGCAGAGTTGAGGTGCTGTCGGGGCATCCGGGTCTTAAGCTACTCTGACGTGTGGACAGATAGCTGATAGCTTGGATTGTCGGGTGGAGCATGTTCGTGTCGTCTAGCTGTCTTACTCAAAAGCCAGGACAACATCCCCTTGTGGTTTACGGATGTCGAGGGGCCTGCAACAGAAACTGAGCTACATAATGTCAGGTCACAATCAAGGGCAACCAGGGGACCGCCTTCCTGCACCTTGGCAATTCTTCACGGGTGCTGCCGAGATGTTGGTGGACTGGAGGTTCTTCGGAGGCAAGGGCTTCTGCCGGGGCCACGATGTACGGTTGAGTTTCTAACTTTCCCAGGCTTTGTCGATTGCTTTGTTGTTGAACTCTTCAACTGAATTCACCTGGTACTTGTATGGTGCAGTCTTCATGAAGGCTTCCAAGTTCGTCTAATGCTCGTCTGTAGCCTGTAGACAATACCAACAATACTGTTTGGCCATAGTAGTGGTACATAATCGAAAGACTTGTTGCAGTCGTAGTGTGTGAGTAGGCGTCGTCAGTGTCGCCGCAGCGTAGCAGTCGCAATAGCAATAGTAGTAGTAATGGTAGTAGTGGTGGTAGTAGTAGTTGTTGTTGTTGCTAGTAAATAAGTAAATAAGTAAGTTTAAATACAACACAGTTGCAGTACCAGTAGGAGTTGCAGTCGCCCTAGGAGGAGACAACGGCAACGGCAGTATCAGCACAAATGTAATGCGCGCTTCTGTACCTCTGCAGCTCCATACATCCAGAAACCGGCCTTTGCTTCTGAAGGACAGCATCCTGGCAGTCAGAACATCTACGCTCGAAGATGTTGCCAGTGTCGGGCTGTGCCAATATGTTTGAGGCGTACAGATATCGGCAAGAGTATCAGTACAGAACACGCCTCTTGTATAACTTGGCCATCAACCATACATGAATCATGCTCGCCAATGCACGGATTTAATCCCAAGGTACTTGCAAGGCTTGGACTAACAGCTTTGCGAAAGAGACAGAAGGCTGACCTCCTTAGCATTTCCCGCTGAATGATTGACATCCCCCGCCTCCTCTCCTAGCCAGGATGTTGGTCGAATTGGAGTAGGCTTGAGCCAAGCTTCGAAGCGAATCGAATCAGAGCACGCAGATTTCGGGGCATTGTGCCCGGGGAACACACACCCACAATACAGTTGACGTTGGTGCACCACGGCAATCAATGCCTCAACGCATCGATTGAACATACATGCAGTGATACATTGGGTTACTTGTGCATGAGTCAAGGTGTGGGGTGTGTGTGTGTGTGTGTGCGCGTGTGCGTGTGCGTGTGCGTGTGCGTGTGCGTGTGCGTGTGCGTGTGCCTGTGCCTGTGCGTGTGCGTGCTTTCGTGTGTGTGCGTGTGTCGAAGGGTTGCAATTGCACGACCGACTACAGAACAGAAACCTGGTCTTGGTACGAGGGCCGTGGGAGGGTACAAATACTTCATTAGGATTCGGAGGCATCGGACTAACATTATCTAACACTGTGCAAACACTGCGCAGGGAATTCTTCAACCGCCGGGACTTGCCAAACCCGCGGGTAAAGACGAGACTGGCAGAAGGCAAAGGATCGGACTCCAGGTGTTGCGGACAACAACCTCAGCATCCAAATTTCTGGCGACCAATAGCCGCAAACTCCGACGAGCAAAAAGTATCTCACGTCGTGAACAGAACGCATGACTTACGACTCGATGCCCTGCTTATTTACTTTAGCGTTGACTTCTGCAGGTGCGAGCATAGATCCGCAGAGCACAATCCTGTAACTTGTCTCCCACGGCCTCCCAAGCGAAGTGGCGCACCAAGGACGACATCATTCGGCAGTCGCCGGTGTCTGAGATCGAGGCACATAGCGGAGCAGCTCCAACTCCTGCCCCAAATTACTACGCTGCCAGGAGCCAAAGATGTCCAGTGCCCTACACCTGAATAAGTAAACAGATGCAGGCCCTACGTCCCTACTCGGCGATGACCGCCTTGCTGCAAAAAGCCACAATGGGTCACAAAAACAACCCCCAACACATTTCAATCCTGAAGCCTGAACCCAGACCTTAGACCTTAATCCCAAGCTCAAAACAACTGAACCCTGAAGACAAACATGTAAAGCCTCTACACCCCAAATTGCCCCTAATTTAAGCGAAGGCCGCAGGCCTTGAACACTGAAAGCAACACCGGCCTTGTTTGACGACCTCCCCGGCCGCGGTCTCCAAGCTTCTGCCGAGGTTTTCAGCAACTCCAAGTGCCTGCTGTGATTCTGGCGGGCCCCAGGTAACCCACCAGCCCTAAAGTGGATAGGTTATTTGGGGTTAAGGTAAGGCTTATAGGATTTCATGCCGAAAGGGTTTGCACACCATTGCATGTGTCTACACAGATCGACGGACAAGTAGGTAAGTTTCAAGCTTGTGCAGACGTAAGGAGTTGACCTGAAGCCACAATCCCTTGGCGTGCTATGCCCCGACTGACCTATGCAGGCATGGTCAGCGCACATGGGCAACAACATCTGTGTCAACTCTATCACCGTACGCATGAACATCACGCACTAGACAGTCATGAGCCGAGTCAATGTACGGACCAGTGGTGCAGGGCTTTGCCGTTTAAGGTTTAAGGCCAGATGGGGCTCTGCAGAAACTTTGAAGAACCTGCCTCCTTAGTCAGAATGCTTCGAAAAAAGACTGACGATGCTGGTATTGTTAATGGAGAAGAAGAAGCAAATAACAAGGGGTCACGGGCCTCAGTGCCTCCTTGGCAATTGACCACTGCAGTCCCGACACAAAAGATTCCAAGTACTTGAACTCCGAAGCCGAAGAAAACACCAGATTCCTCAAAGCATCGCACCCTGCCTTCCTGTAGGGTTTGGGGTTTCGAAACCTAAAGAAGGAACGTTTACAGCCTCGGCAGGTCTGCCGACTTGGCTCGCGTCGCTGCAGCAGCAGCTTTTGCTGCGCACCAGAAAGCCTCCACCTGACACCGTGTGCTTCATGCAATGAGGGTTTATGGGGTTCAGGCTTCTCCGCTTCATCCGTAATATGATGTTGTAGTTGGTGGGAGGGGGAACTGAAGGGGATCCGGATGTTCACTTGCTTGCACGACATGGGAACTCCAAACGCATGTCGCCTCTGTAGAACCCAGGAACCTGCCTGCACAGAAAAGCAAACCATGGGTACCCGCAATCGCAAGCCTGGAGTCCAAAAGCCATAGTCGTTGAGGCAATGTGGAGTACGGGGCCGGAAGCCCAAACTGAGCGAAAACGAAACACCACCAGTCACATGGACAACAAGAAATTCTTGACTCCTTTGGCAGTAGATTCTAGGACGTGGCTCAATGTGTCTGTAGGGAGAACCCTCATTGCCCCGTCGAGCCACATAAACAGAGCCCATGCACTCCGCTCGGACGCTCCTTGTAGGCATGCTTCATAGCCAAAGCAGCAAGAACATGGCACCGAACTCAACCCATCATCAACCCCCCCGCCCCTCTCCGCCCAGGCTCAATAGCTGAACCCTCTACAAGCACCCCTAAGCCCTACCACCCTAAACCCTAAACTCTACCACCCTAAACCCGAAAACCTAAACCCTAAACCCGAAAACCCAAACCCTAAACCCGAAAACCTCAACCCTGACGGCCTTCTGAATTCTAGAGAGCATCTTAGAACCTTCATCCCGGCCCCCCTAAACCCAGGAACCTCCGGGCCCTGGCCCTGCAGGCCTGGCATTGGTAGAAAGGCGGGCTTTGGGTTCAGAGCTTTGGGGGTAGATAAGTATAGTATAATAGAGAGTTTAGAGTTTAAGGTCTCAGGGTTTGGAGAGATTCTGGGGTTTGGAGGGTTTTTTGGCTCGAGTCTGCAATGTCATGTTGACATATCCGTGCCGGCACAAGGCGAGAAACATTTTAAGCAATACCACTGCGCACGCAGAAGCACAGAGTCAAGAGCTTGCGAATCTCGGCAGTCATCACAAGCTCTGGTGGGAGAGCAACAACGAATCTGTCTCAAAAACCGGCAGCCAAAGCTGAAGCCAGCGAGCGACGGGTCACTAGGTTCCACTCTTAGTGAAGCATCGCATGCTGGCACGAGGCTTCTTCTGAGCACTCGAGGGAATGATTGACCTCTGGCTCGTCTATCCGTAGACTACAGCACGAAAATTAGCTGTGTGCAGTTTGTATGTTGAACGAAATTGGATGTTGAGTCTTGAAGCAGTCTGGACAACTCAAGTCGCTGCAGTCCCTTGGAGGGTCTCACTATGCAAGGCCTGCACTGTCGTGCACAGCCACGTCCTGCGGGGCCATTCAGGAGCCGCAGGACGACAAGCGAGCAAAGGCTGGCTGGCAGAAGGCTGTGCGAGCTCGGGAGGCTCCTAGCTTGGATCCTTGCTGGGAGATTTTGCAGCCAACGTAGCACTCATAGGAGCAACACACATGGTTGCATCTCATCATGCTTGCTACTAGTAGCAGGCCTTTGCCTTGCAATCGGCACACTGCTTTGATAGTCGGCAATGAAACCCTGGCCCCTCAAGATTCCACTCGAAACTCTGATGAACAGCCCTCCCCCATGCCGCCTTACTTGGAAAAACAAGTTAGCTGAGCGCAGGGTCATTGAGGATACTGACACGGTTTGGGGCTCCGTGTATAACCGGGGTGAAGCATCGTCGCGGCACTTCGTGTGCGAGGAGAGCTGTGGGATGACAGGTACTGCTGTAGGTTTGGGCTTGGCGATGGGTCCAAGCTCTCTCCTCCTCCTGCCCACCGAATGAAAAGAGTTGACCAGGAATTCGATCGTCTTTCATATGCTGGGAGGCAACGGTCTGTCCAGCGTCGTGCGCTAGCCGACTCCAAGCCGCCGCAGAAATAGACGTGTCCACAATGCAGAGTCCTCCTTTGTGGAGGGGTCCTTCCGTTTGGGAGCTTCTCTGAACCAGTGGCTTTCTTGTAGGATGTTTGTATTTCAGGTTTTTGTGGCTTAAATTGCAGGTTTTGTTCGAGAAGCCCCCTTTGCTTTGAGAAAAAAGGGCTGCATACATTCACTGCACCCTCCTTTGTGGAGAGGCCACACGCAAGCCACCGGAACTCAAAATCCGTGCTGGCTTCCCCGATACTCACAACAGCAGATTAAGACCGTGATAGCCATCATGACGGATGCAACTTGCGCATGCACGTGTATCGTCTGCATGAAACCTATAGTGAACCTAATGTGCGCACTCCCCACAGGAAAACTACGATGATACTGTCAAAATCTATTGCATGCCGGGGGCCGGAAAGGGATTATGCCTGAGCTCAGTGCCAGTGCCACCGCAGACCTCTACTCCTGAATGATGCTGA